AATGTACTAGCGACTTAATCTAGGACCTGTAATCTAGCATCACTATAAAGTTAGCATATATTCAAGTTTTTCATTTTATCAAAACCTTTAATATTAAATATAGCCTTTGAGCCTCTGGGCTTATTGTTACGACAGCGGAAGTCACGTGACGCTGGAAGCATGTGCGCTGGAGTTTCTAGAAGGACCATGGCTGTTCCTGGCAACTGTAGTCTTTTCTAGGCGCCCTCTATTTTAGTATATAAGCCCGGCAAATAAAGCGGAGAATGATAGCAGATTGAAGAGAGATATAGAGACAGATAACTGAGTCATGTGAGCGGTAGTGACCGTAACTATGTGCGTAAATCGTTGTGAATTATAGCGTGTGTTGAAGTAAAAATAACTGTGGAAATTCTGTGTATTGCAAAGTTGTATTGAGAAAGAATAAACTAGTTTCCTTTAAGAAAGGGCTTGTATCGCTGAAGTTCCTCGGGAAGAATTTTTACAGTAAATTAACAAACGAACAGAGACGTAACATTATATTATGTTAGGATTACACCCTTCTCCACAGTGTATGTAATTTTCATTCGAGCAATTTCAGACTTGTTTCCTGTAGTGTTCGTATAGTTAAATCTATCGAGTTTTTAAATGTGATTTAGCAACTGCCAGTAATTTATATGGTGCTCATAAGCATGATTTACCAGCATATACACTCATATGCATTGATTTTCTTACTGTTATGTCACATTAATTAACATGAATATGGGTGGTCTAAATAATGGCAGTTAAAGTGAAACCAGGTCCAGATGTACCTAACTAGTCCTGAGTTGCAACTATAATTGTATAATTTAAATATAATTTGTGGTAAGGAACTTAGGAAAGTAGAATGCTTCCTTTCATTTGACAATTTGCATGTTGTAACTAAATAGTGTAGTCAGTATTTATTAATTTATTCTTTTAGCCCGTTATGTCGAAAAAAGAAAGTGGGGCACAGGGACGCAAAAGACGTGCACAATTTGCAGCTTCGATAGTGGAGTCATGCAAACTAATGAGAGCTTTCCTTGCTAGAAGTGACACTAGTAAGCCAGCATCTGTTCCTTTTGATGGTAGCAAAGAGGTCAAAGTGAAAGATTGTGAACATGCTATTTCATTTGAAAAAGAAAACAATGAAAAAACTGTTCTCTGTCCTGTTGAAAGCTACAATAATAATAAACAAGAAGATTCCACTTTGTCAGAAACAAATCTACAGAATAGTGTTGCTAAGCTGAAAGAGGATGACCTATTGAAATACCTTAAATTTTGATAGTTTAATTGATGCATTTGCAGCAGCAAAAGCACAAAATGTTCATACAATATAACCATGAATACCAGAATGCTACCTGTACAAAATCTAGTTAAGTATATGTACAGTTTTGTAAACTAATAAAATTTGTATTTGTAAACTTAAGTAGTATTTTATCAATCTGTTTTATTATCCGTGTATACCACAAGTGACTGGCTTCTCATATAAAACATAAGTTTCAAAACTAGGAATATAACAGAAATTTATTCTGCATGCTTGAAAGATTACTCTAGCTATGTGACTTTGAATAATGCTGGATGACATAAATATCAAAATGGTTTACAAATTATGTAAGTACACCTAATAGGCTATACTTCATTAGTTCCAGGTTTACAGTTGTGATATCGTGTCAAACCCCTAACCACAATACAACACTCCACCAA